TATATACATATATATATATTTTAAAATACCGGGGGAGCACCTACCCCACTTTCACTAGAAATTGGATTAATCTAGACATGAGAGCTTGTCCGGTCAAGTCGGTCGCTTTACGTATAATTTACAGAATTCCCATGTTTGGAACACGTTAATAGTGGGCGCTTGAACGAAGCGGGTGCTTCCGTGGTATTTTGCGGTCAAGGGGGAACCTCTTCACACATATTGTGGATGCACACACTCGTACATACAGATGGTTTATGCCTGGCGGGAGGGGCATTGTGTAGGCACGTATGTGTGTTGTGTGGCTTGATGGAGAGAAGAGATTTTACGAAGGCGACGCCGGCAACGAAAATGAACACTGCACTGGCCGCTCCGCTGGTGTTCTGCATGAGTGTTAGGTGCACATAGACCGAACCGTGCAAACACACATACACACACACACGCATACGCTTTCAGCTTTTGGGTCTCCCCCACTGTGGTCCTTCCCCCGACACCCCAAACAAATTTCCAAAAGCATTGCTGCTTAAAAAAAAAAAAAAAAAATTAAAGGCTGGCTTGACTTGCTTTGTGACTTGAGTGCGAGTCCCGTGCCTGGTCTGGGGCCCTTCATGAATGTAACCGTGAAGTCCGGCTCGTGGGCCGGGTTGGGCGGCCTGTACCCATACAGATGTCTAGAGGCAAATAGGCAAAATTTTATACCGAGGGAAGACAATGAAACTTTCAGTGGTATATAAAAAAAAAAAAAAAATAAGGTATTCAAACAAAAATGAATTTTGTGAATCTAGCATACCAGGAACATGCCAACCTCCCACCAGCCAATACACAAGGGAAGCGATTTGGATGAACTGTCCTTTGTCATCAGACTCATAGTGCAGATCTGGCATTTTCTGACTACCACCTATTTGGCTTGTTAATACACACATTCTGTTGATAACGATGAGCCAAAACAGTGTTTTTACTGTCTCCAAGGTCAAAGCAGAGACTTTTAAGAGCCAGGAATTCCACATATCTGTCAGCAATGGTAAAAGTATGTTGATAACATTGGAGACTATTGCAAAAAATGTCTAAGTGTTTGTCAAAAATGTTGGAGTGAATGTCAATATAAACGTGTTATACTTTTTCAGACAAATATTGGGAGGCATTACTTTTACACCTCCCCCTCTTCTGTTAAGCACGAATAAAATGCGAACAGCGGAATGCATTGCTTTCGGTACATGCTGCGCCACCAGGAGACCCATGGGAACCGATAAAACTGCGAGGGTGTGCGTCCTACTTTATTGTATTTGATCCTCGCTCAGCGCAGCCCAAGCTTCAGCGCTGCGCCGGCGGTACGTTGGTAGTCTCATCACAGCCTTTGTCACTCGCTCGGCTCATGCCGTGCAAGCAAAACAAGAACTCAAAAGGAGGTGTCTGCCCTCATCCTTTCTTTTTAGTTTTTGTTTTTCTTGCATGGCACAGGCTGAGCAAGTGACAATGGCTATGACAGAACTACCAATGTACCACCGGTACAGTGCCAAAACTTGGGCTGTGTCAGTCTATCATAGAAATATACCAATCATTCATTCCTGTTAACAGGTGCGATTCCTAGGTTTCCAGTTGTAAGAAACAATCATGTGATAGCAAGATTGGTACTAAGCACAAAAGTATTCATAAAAAAGATTATTGTATGCAGTACAAAATACACAGAAAAAAAATGTACAACAAGCTTTTCTGGAAGTATTCCTCTTGGAGAGTGGGTATTATACAAGTTGTACACCTTTCCAGGCTCTAACATACATTAAAGGAGCCATGCAAGGATATTGGGTTCAAATGCTTCTCACTTACACCAGCATACTGGCACTATACTCGCACACAATTCCACTGATCCAGAAGCTTCTTTGTTGCAGTGTAAATACTGTAGACGACTTAATTTTCACAGGCTCAAATTTTCGCGAATCGGGCCAAAGCTGAAAATTTGAAATTATTCTCTGGTTCTAATTTTCGGGAATCGAGTGTAGCTTCCGTAGCTTTCACATATTTCCCGAATTGTTTGCAGGACATATTTTTCGCGAATTGTAGGCGATTCGCGACATTCGCGAAAATTTAGTCGTTTACAGTATGCAATGTTAAAAGCAGACTACCGAAAAATCCCCAGCAAGCACCCACTCAAAATTAGGAGATGATCATGTAAAACTGGGGGATGGGCGCTTCTTAGGTCTACAACATATAAAAATATGTCCTTCACGTATTTTCCGAATGTTACAAAATTGAGGGGTGGGCGCTTATTGTACAGTAGACTCATTATTTCAAACTCCAGAAAGCCACAAATTTTGTTTGAATTTTCAGAAGTTCATCTAAATATGATGAAAGATAAAATAGTGATTTGCCATATGAATGGCTACACATATAAAGCAGGTATTTGATGATTTCCTCTACATAGGCCTACTGATCATAAGCAGGTATGCCACACATGAAACATTTGTGAAATGTATGACATAAGTTTATTTATCCCTCAAAAAGTTTGTTTGTTATGAACTGTTTAGCAACTCAAAACAAAATTAAGTGTGTTCATCGGCCAATAAGTTGTCTAATGTGGACTATTAAGCAGGGGACATGTGAGTAATGAAACCGGGCACCGCGCAGCAGTTTTAATGGCCACTCGGGCGGACGTTGTCACGTGGACCTATGCCATGCCGCCACGTCGCAGCGTCTGCGCAAGTTCCTATGGAAATTTCTGTGTGGTGCCCGTATTCATAGCAACTTGCGCAGATGCTGTGACGTGGACCTATGGCATGCCGCCACGTTGCAGCATCCGCACAAGTTACTGCGGAAATCTTCGCGTTGTGCCCGTTTTCGTAGCTCATGTGTGCCCTGCTTGAGCCCCGTTGAGTATGCATCTCGCCAAGCACGGGTGCACTGCGGAGAAGCAACACCTGCGGAAGCAAGCTCCGCGGGTGTTGCCTCTTTGCAGTGCACCGGTGCTCAGAAAGAAACGCACTCAGCGCGCTCGACAAATACGGCGACCAAAGACAGGTTGTGCCATGCCATGTGCCAGCTCAATGCACAACTCTAGCGTTTAAGCAAGCAAGCATTACCTTCTATATAGTTTGGCCAAATTTTTATCTACTACATTCAAAACCCGCGGTGGTGTATTGGTGTAAGCGATCTTCCAGTGGGTTAACCTTTTTTGGGGAACCTATGGAAGGACTACCTACTGTCCTTCTACCACCCTGTTGAGCATTGACAAAAGCTCAATGGTTGGGTCACAAGGTTGCATAGTTTGCATTTAGGGCAACCTCCAAAGACAGGTTGTGCCATGCCATGTGCCAGCTCAATGCACAACTCTAGGGTTTAAGCAAGCAAGCATTAGCTTCTATATAGTTTGGCCAAATTTTTATCCACTACATTCAAAACCTGCGGTGGTGTATTGGTGTAAGCGATCTTCCAGTAGGTTAACCTTTTTTGGGGAACCTATGGAAGGACTACCTACTGTCCTTCTACCACCCTGTTGAGCATTGACAAAAGCTCAAGGGTTGGGTCACAAGGTTGCATAGTTTGCATTTAGGGCAACCTAGGCAACACGCTGAAGGCTGGCTCACACATTTGTGTCAGTTGCGTCTAGAAAACGACAGTAACAACTGGAATGGCATCACAGTTGTTACTCCCGATTGCTTCACGAAGGTACTTTTTGCATTGCTTGGCACGTTGTGTACAGTGAGCACCTTTCCCGGTAACTTTGTACCTTTCCCGGTAACTTTGTACCTTTCCCGGTAACTTTGTACCTTTCCCGGTAACTTTGTCATTGCTGTTGTTTCGGTCACTCTGAATGCAAGCAATGCAGCTGTCTGAACGAGGCTTGATACGACAATCACCGGAGAACTGTTTGCCTTACACAACATAGGAAGCAATGCAAGGCATTCCTTAATCATTTGGCCATTATGAGTTGCATCTTTTCTTGTGGCCTTGGCGTTACTTCTCTTTTTGGTTGTTGCAGTAGACACAATCAACTCGCCTTCCATCGCTTTACTTCGGTGGCCATCATGACAACTGTCAACAGCATGCAATCACGGAAGATACGAGAGAGTAGTAGAAATCGCGAAAGGACGTGTTCCGTCCAGTTCATTGTTTTCCCGCTAGGTGCTGTCCGTTTCGCTGGAGTTGTGAATAGAAAACATTGGCTGCGCAAAATCATCACAAAATCAAGTGACCATGTGGATCTGCTGCTGGTTGAGGGTGTGAATACTGCTCGTTGTTCTCGCAATTTTTTCTGATACTGCCATTGTGCAAAGAGGAAGCTAATACTTGCTTCATAGGTTATGAGTAGGATTCCGTGTTTTCGGAGTTTATTTCTCGTGAAATTCGGAGGGTGTTTTTTGGAGTTCATTTTTCGCTGGGGGATTTGGGGTTTATCGGAGTTTATTTTTGTTAGATTTCCAATTCTTTAAAATTCAAAGTTTATTTTACTGCGTAAAATTTTAAAAATTTAAAAAACAATAAATAAGGTTTGGGTAACCATCACCCGTTGTCCCGAAGGAACCTTGGCGTGCTAAAAGGCAAAAAACTTTCGTCAGTAGTTCTAGATTTAAAAAAAAAAAAAAAAAAAAAAAAAACGAAGTAGAATCTTCTTGGGACCACTGACTTTTGTGGTCTTATAAAGTTTAGTTGTAAAGCTCCGTCTTTTTTGCTGTTTATTTTGTCGCTGTGACTTTGAAATTCGGAGTTAAATTTACCGGCGAGTGTTTTTCGGATTTATCCATATACACGGAACCCTAGTTATGAGCTTGAAAGGTTAATTCGATGTGGTATTTACTGAAAGTGGGAAAATCGTTGCATGGCTCCTTTAACCTTGACCCTCCCCCCCCCCCCCCCCCCCCCCCCCCCCATATCTGCTAAACTGTATTGGTTGTACTTTAGAGCATATTAGCTCTTCACCTGCCAAGACAGTATTCTTGAATTCTCTCTTATTCATGGAAGTTACCTTTTTTCTTGATGCCATGGTGGTTGTGACTTTTTCTTCTGTGCAGGGCGATGCAGACTTCCCTACAGAGGCAGTGCAGGCATACCATAACAAGCCCCAAGCATCGCACGATTACAGACCTGCCGCTAGCAAGACCAATATTATCCACCAGCCAAGGAAGTAGGCATTTTAGAACTGCAAAAGCTCATGGCATTCGCTTGAAGATAGCTGGGAAAAAAAAAAAAAAAATCTGCTTTGTTGGACCAACTTTGCTTTCACGAGCCCCCTGGTTTCAGGGAGGTGTTTTGTTTTTGTTGTTTTTCTTTCTTTGAGTAATTCTGGGATTACGGGTTAAGTTCTCTTCTCCAGATTTTCGCTTTGTCTTGCAGTATGTGGGATATTTCATTTTTAGGGTCTTTTATCTTTGTTTTGCTTTTGTGTGAGGTTTTGTGTTGATACACACCAAACTGTTTTGTCTGCTGAAGAAGGTGGTGTTTGTGGTTTTCTTGTAGAATGTTGGAAATAAACCGCTCGACTGGTAAAGGTTCTTTTTGTAGTTCCTTTTGCTTGTGTTCCTCTTTTTGCTGCTTGTCTAATGAAAAGCAAACGAAGCAATGAGTTTCAGTTAGACTGAGATGTCTCTAATCTACCAAGCAACTATTTCAATAGAGTTAAGAATATTGGATGATTTAGAAACTTTAACTTTGGCTGGTTTGGATGCCTCAGTCCCTCTTCGCATACTGTAATATCCCGAAAAATAGCCCGCCTAGAATCGAGAACAAATTGTGTGAAAATAAGGAGTGGGCTAACTTTCGGTGTGCAATCAAGAAAAGTTGAAACAAATGCTATTTTTAGATCATATGTCTTTGTCAAACATATCGCAGCGAAGGGTAATGAAGCAAAGATTATTGCACTTCCCCGTCAGCAATGTTAGCTTATATCCCGCCACGACTAACTAGGCGCATTTGCGCCAAGATTATGATAGATCCAAACACTGATTACTGGGAGTGGAGTTAACATCCAATGTGGTTGACTGGAGTGCAGTCACAATCTCGGTGATGATCTTCGTGTTCTGACTCTGTCGAACCCTCCGCTTCGTATTTAGCATATCCATCCTTAAGTTCATTCCTGACCTTCAAAAGTCCCGGGTTTCGCCACCAAATTGTTGCATTTTGAAGCGCTCCTTAGTTCTATGGATTTGTTGGTGGCGGTATGGTCGTTAAATGCAAGACAGGACAACTGGCTTCAGTTGAAAAACCGTTTACTCTTTTACTCGAACAGACACGTTTGCTCTGCTCGCGCTCGCTCTTGTTGTACCTCCAAGCTAAAATCCCATGCAGCCGCTTTAATCAGGCTGCAGTGGCTGCGGTCCCACGGTCGCAACAATAATGCCCGTGCTGGCTGTACTTCGGCTCGTGTTCGCAGTACAAATGTCGCGTCTGTGCGGGAGTAACGTAATACGTTCTAATTGCAAATCAATGGCCCATTCATCTTCAGTACCTTATGGCAAAATCTGATATATGTCTCCGCAAACGTAACCGGTAATGAAAAAACAAAAAGCGCAGGTTTTGATATTTTGGAGACATGCCCTACGAGTTCTAAGTTTATGGATTTCTAATACGACCAAGTCTCGTTCTGATTTTATTAGTAGATAAAGGTCACATGCAGTCTCCTATTTACGTCCTTTTTCCAAATTGTGCACATGTTTTTATATTTTTTTTTTTTAAAGTGCTTTTTTTTTTATACAAATAGAAAGTGTCGTAACTCGATGTAGCCTCGTAACCGAGCAACCAACTTTGAGGGCTTATTTCTGATGAACCTAGCAACTTGGCATAGAAAGTATGAGAAGCGCAACTCCAGCCGTTTAGTCGTGAAATCTGCCCTAAAATGCTTGAATTTCTCAATTTCTTCCTAAAAGTTCCAAGTTTTGGGGGTTTTCTTTTTTTTTTCTTTTTTTTTTTTTTTTCAGATAGCATTTTAGAAGTTGGTCTGATACTTCTTGTGTTCTAGTGGAACTGGATTATCCTCTTTAAGGATTTTATATATATATATATATATATATAATATTTGTGTTCAAAGTCATTGAAAATAATTTCACGATTAAGCAATATTTTGATGCTTAACTATGTATGTGAAAAACAATTCAGATGAAAACGCCTCAATCATTTGAGATTATTTTCCACAATTATAATCTTTTTAAAAAGCTAACCGATTGTTCTAAGTAGGGATGTCGCAAACCGGTTGAGGTTCGAGTTCAACCAGGTTCGACTTTTTCTAACTTGTGAAAATTTGGACGAAGGTTCTACTCAGGTTCGACTGCTGTGCGCATGCGCGACAGGCTGGCCAGTTGGCTTCGGATTGGATGGTGATGGCTAAGGAATGAATTAAGGACAGCAGTGATTGGCTATTTCTAGGGGTTTCGCGAAGTCCTGTCAAACCGGATTTTTAGGTTGAACTTTCAGGGTTCGATTGGGTCGAACCGGTTCAGCGAACCTTCAAACTTTTAGCCAGATTCGACCGGTTTGACTTTGTGGACAGTGTGGCCAGACCTTGATACAAGCATGTCTAAGTTTGGAGAATTTTTTCTATGCAAAGGGTCGTTTTAATGTTATGAACAGTTGGAAGTAAAAAACTAATTCTAATCACTGAAGAAGTTAATAACTTAATTTTTTGTGCTGTATTAAAGGGATTGTCCGGTCGAAACCGGAAGTACTTAAGTTCTTGCGGTCGTTACGTCGAGGGAGCCTTCATGTAGACAAACATAATTTTTATTTTGATATATAATATCCCGTTATCAATTAAACCTTTCATGAGCCTATTTACGAAACTGCACCCCGAATTTCGCCAGTGTCAATGGCTGACATCTGTAGGTGCTGCGTGACGTCACAAAACGCAAAGGTTTGTCGGATGGTTGGGATAACAAGCGTTGGTCGGTGGATGTCTTGTATTTTGTTTCGAATTATATAGTCTCCTAGGCTGTACCCTACTTAAATACGGTTCTTTTAGTGCATTTTCCAAGCATGCGCAAAAAAAGTCACGCCTTTTAGCAGGAAATTCCCCGCCAACAGCCATAAGCTTCGAGCAAATGTATGCCGTTTCGAGCAAACACAACTGCGATGGCCACCAATCGAACTAGGGGCGCTTGCAAAGCAAAGGATGCATATTTCGCCTCTGAAGTGGCACCTAAGTACACGAAGCGGCATCTGGGTACACATGTCAGCGGATCCACTGGATCGGTGATGAGGTTGCGGGTCGTTCCCTCAGAGGCAATGACCGCGGGTCGAAGACAAGCTGCGAATCGTTCAAATGCATGTCGTCACTTGACTTGGACGAGCTTGGTGAATCGTAGTCACGCCTCATTTTCACTTGACATGATTAAAATAGCGCAAACTTGACAAGGACAACAAAGAAGGCACACGTACAACAGGACTGGCGCTTACTTCCAACTAAGTTTATTTCATCATCAACCAAGCAATATATACCATCGCTTGGTTGATGAAATAAACTTAGTTGGAAGTAAGCGCCAGTCCTGTTGTACGTGTGCCTTCTTTGTTGTCCTTGTCAAGTTTGCGCTATTTTAATCATGTCAAGTAAGAACCAACTAGCCCAAACAAAAGTCGTTTTACAACTCATTTTCACACGCGGGTCAAACAGAATCGGGCTGCACGCGTGCTAAATACAACTTCTAGTATTGTTTCCGGATGGCCTAGCTTTTGGTTTCGGTTTCACTGCATAATAAAATTGATTGATCCAATTTGGGCGAGGAGTGGATGGACGTAGTTTAATATCGTTGGCACAGCATCACACTTCAGCTTACGAGCCTCCTGTCCGCTTAGAGCTCGGCTCGTAGCTCTCTTCTGTGAGATGATTGCTGCATAAGCGGGATCTCGATCTTGACGGGACCCTAGTCCCTACGCACGGCGACGACCCACTTTGCTCGACACTGCACGTCTCGCGGAAAAGTGTGGAACGTCATGTCTTGGGCTCGCACGTGCTGCCCGGTGGTTGTGGCACCCAACCGCGCAACAAAAATCTAACCCAAACTACGAAACAAGTCGAGCACATCAACAGAAACGAAGCACGCCGAGGCAGGCAAAAATGCTCGTTATGTGTTTTGTGACGTCAGAGCTTTAATGTTGCCAACTAAAGCAGCGTTAACGCCAGAATGCGATTGGAGCAGCATAAATTCAATTACTCACGCAGAGGGGCATATAAAATTCAGATATTGCACGTACGATCCGTCTCGAGGCAATAACAATGATATTCAATTGTTTTCTCGAATACAAAATTTGACCGGACAATCACTTTAACTGAAATAACCAATCAGTGCTGCCCTTAAAGGGGTTCGGAAACAAAAATTGAAATATTCAGATTTTGTTCGTAAATGAGTCAAGCATGACGGATAATAACCGTAAATGATAATCGCACGTTTGTGTTTTGAACGATTGGCTATATTTTTCGTTCCAAACGGTGCACTCGAGCAAGCGCTCGAAGAGAAGCGAGCGGAGAGCGCCGTGCGTCGTGGGATATCCGGCGCAAACAAAAGAAAAAAAAAAGAAAAGATGCCCCGCGTTCGTGCTGACGATTTCACCAAGAGCTTTGCCCTTGGTGGCGTTGTCAGCGCTGCGGTAGCCGTTCGAAGTACCCGTGGGGTGACGAGCGTGTGGCTGGCCCAAGGAGCGCGTAGCTTCCACAACACTGTCAGCTTTAGTGCTGAACGAGGTGGGGAAAGCAACTTTTGTTCGAGTTTTGAGCGACGGGCTAATCTTCTAGGGGGAGAATGGCTGTTTCCGGTTGCACGAACGAGGGTGCGAGAAAGAGGGGAGTCCTTCCGTTCCGTCTTCTTGGACCGCTTGGTACAATGCGCGATTTGTGAGTTCAGGAGGAAAACTAAGAAGGAAAACGTTGAAATGCCAAAGAGCGGCGCTGCTCCGAAGGAATCTGCTACGTAACGACTACGTAGCAGATTCCACAACGTTGCTAGACTACCTCCCAAATAGGCTCCGCATGCATCCACCAGGTGCACATTGAAGATCGTTTATTTTGCTTTAAAATTAGTTTTCTTTTGCTTTTCAACGAAAGACTGGTGTTTTTGAGGTTAGGGTGCAACAGGCAACACGTTAAAGCTAGAAAATGATCGCTAAAATTTCGTTTCCCTACCCCCTTAATTCATCCCTTAGCCATCCCCATCCAATCCGAAGCCAACTGGCCAGCCTGTCGCACATGCGCATAGCAGTCAAACCTTTTTCGAACTTTTGACAGGAAGTTCGAAAACGTCGAACTCTAACCTCGACTGGTTCGCGACACCCCTAGTTATTTCAGTTAATACAGTACAAAAAAATTAAGTTATGAACTTTTTCAGTGATCAGAATTAGTTTTTTTTTTTTTTTAATTGCAACTGTTCATAAAATTAAAATAACCCTCTGCATAAAAAAAAAATTCTCCAAACCTAGACATGCTTGTATCAAGGTCTGGCAAAATAAAACGCTGCTCCAGAGGCACATACGGCTTCACGTACATTGCACGCGCAAAACACATCCACACGGCGTTGAATCTTGATCGGTATCCAAGCGCGCGAAGGCAGAGACGCGGTATTTCGGCGTGCCGAGAAAGCTCACGCCGTGAGACCGGTGAAACTTACTTTCGACGAGTTCTACATTTTTTCTGCAGCACTGTGCTGTCGTAAAATTTTTCACGTGTTTTCAACATCAAGTCTCAACGCTTACACAGGGTCTTAAAGGACTTCTTCGGCGAATGACGACGAACGAGTAGGAAACGTGTCTTCAGCACGCTGCCGCCAGCCTTTGCAACGCTAGCAAAACTGCACTTCGTCTACGAGCAAGATGGCCGTCCAGTGGCTTCACCCGCGGGTGCGGGAAGCGCGATCCAGGCTCCAGCTAGAATCACTGTATGGAGATCCAGCAAATGTCATAGAGACCAGTGTTTGCTACTGAATCTACCACTGATCTCTGTGGAATCCACTGAATCATCGGATTAGAAATTGAACTCGTTTTATATTTTACAAATTTTATTTCAGAAGTTACAGAACTTACGTAAAAGGTGTTTTGTTTCGTCACGTTTGCAACGTTCAGCTGATTCAGACGACCTAACGGTCAGCTGGCCTTCGCTGGCCGCGTGACCGCGCGACTCATTACGAAGTGGCGCTGGGTGGAGTAGTTAAAAGTCAGCGAAGTTGTAAACAGCTGAAGTGGCTGAAGTGCTAAGGCAAACTTAATTGAAAGCTCTCGAAGCTTGCAGGCTTCCGAGTACATAGTCCTAAATTCCACTCGGAAGCCAAGTTTTACGATGGACGAGCAAAACATTGCCAGCGTTCGAAATAAGCTAAACAGTGAGAATATAAAGCTATGGTTGCCTCCGTACACGGTCGATGGCAGCGAAGGAAATTTTCCGACTGTGAGTACCTACACGGAACCTTAAACGGTGTCTGTGCCTTGGCGCTCTGAATATATTATTGCTAATTTGCAGGAGATGGTGGAAAGATACGCAGCTGAACTGAAGTTGGACATAATCGTAGTGCTGAACGTGCTGCGAAACTTGCGAAATCATGCAGTGACGAAGCTGGCTTCAAACCAGAAATTTAAAACCACGGGTGTTGCCACGCTGAAAGTGAAAATTGTCAACCCACAGCAGAAATCTGTAAGTTATTTTTAGCCGATGGTTGTTTTTATGTTTACGTGAAAGCATGGATTGCATCCAGTGCATTGTTGTTGTTGGTATTGTTGTTTTTCAGCCACCAAGAAAAGAGTTCGAAACGATCGAAATTAATCTCGATGAAAATGGTCAGAATTTACGCGAATTAGTTGCTTCGAAGTGCTCTGTTGATTCAGGAAAAATCAAGTTGATTTCTGCTGGAAAAGTTATTCAAGACACCTGTTCACTGAAGGACCAATCAGTTAAGGTGAGTGACATTTTTATGTATCGGATGAAATCGCCCCAGAAAAGCTCAACAGGCAATGCTTACTGAGCAAAACGTAGTTGATATTCATAGTCTTGAATGGAACTCCAATTTTATCTGTGTGCAGACCCAGAAGTAATTAAATTTCACCAGCAATATCTGTGAAAGTGTGGTTTATATAAAGTGCTATAACGTGGGAAGTATGACGGACGTCAGCCGGGCCTACTGCTTTATTAACACACATAGTCAAACGTCAGGGTACATGAGCATGAACAAATTGAGCAAACAAGGGCGGTGCTCTGGTTTATCGAAGCAGAGCGCACGCGATAACAGATAGGTGCGCTTGTGCATGAACAATCGGATATCGCTCTATGACAGTACAATATGCAACATAACATCCCTCCCCTTTTTAGTATACAACCAAGTTACACAATTATAAGCAGTTGTAAAGCACTAACACAGAGATGCAATGTACAAAAACACAGTCAATGCAATTACATTTCGTAATCAGTTATACGTCGATCAGTCTGTCGTTTGGTCGTGTTGCATGACTACTGTGTCGAGGAGAGACATGGTGAATGCACGAGACTAGCCCAATTTGTTTCTGTGCTAACTGCATCACTGGCTGATTTTGCACATGTGTCCTTCGTTGGGGTGCTATCGGGCAGAGCTGGCCAGTACGGCCCAACACGTTCTAGTACAGAGTCTTGTACTGAGTTTGCAGCTCGCATGTGATCTAGGTGTGCACAAATGTAATATGCATTGTTGTACACATACCAAAAATGTGACGCACTCGACAACACCCCACGTTGACACGAAACCATTCAATAGTCTCGCCTCTTTCAACCATTGCTGCATCCCCCACCGAAAACTGTCAAGCAATGCCACGACGTTTGTGAGCCTGTTCTCTATACTCATCAATTTGGTTTGCATTGCTCGCGTCAAGTTCGGCTTCAAAAGTAATCGGCACGTTCAAAGTTTTTTTCCCAGAAAGAGTTCCTGACGACTTTGCGCTGCATTCTTGTGTAGTCTGTCTTTCCATCGGTCGAGAGTTGCTTCAGAAGAGCTTTTTTGTTTTTATGATCTGAACTGCCTGTGCAGTGGCCCCATTTGACTGGATAATATGGTGGTGTTAGTACTTGCTTGACTGCGTTTTTGTGCAGAAAGTCCTCAAACTGGTGGCTAGAAAAATGTGGGCCATTGTTTGTCATGACTTTGACTGGTCGAATTGCACATCAGTTTTAGTGGAATTTTGGTGCGTCATAGAACTCGAGAACAGTGTTGCTGCAGAGAAGCCGCTTACAATACTCTAAACTTTCTTTACATTCTTGTGACCGCTTTCATGCTCTTTTCTTGGCACTGTTAGCTGCCTGTGCATTGGCTCTAATGTTGATGCTAGGCACGGCAAGAACTTTGCATAAAAGTTCAGTAATCCCTATAAAGCCCTTAGCTTTTTCTCGTTTTGTGGTTCTGGTGCTTTCAACACTGCTTCAATTATCTTTTCTTTTGTCGACTGCAGTCCTTTGCTGCTTATCTCGTGCCCGAGATATCAGACACTGCTTTGAAAGAACTTGCCCTTTTCAGAATTTACTCAAATTTTGGGCTTTCTTAGCCGTTCTAAAACACTCGATGTTCTTATCGTTCTCCTCTTGTGTTCTACCAGAAATTAGAATGTTGTCATGCAAGGTAACAAATGGTACTTGGAATTCCTTAAAGGATTTGATCCATGACCGACTAAAATAAAGCAGGTGTGCTCGCTACACAGGAAAGTCGTTCCAACCATATCAGTCCTAGGTGTGTATTCACTGCTAGAACCTCTTGCCAATGCTCTATGAACTGCAGTTGCAAATAGGCTTTCATCAAGTCAAGTACAGTGAAAACTGTGTCCCTCCTGCTACTGCCGCTAAGTTATCTTCAGGCAAAGGTAGCAGGGATAGTGATCTACCTTCAGATGAGGATTTACCATTACTCGATAATCCCCACAGTCTCACCCCACAGAGTCTCACGCTTTTGTCTTTTTTTTTTTTTTTTAAAATTAAAGGCGTAGCTTCATCACTATTTCACTCGGTAGATTACCTTGTTTTCTTTCTCACGCTTTTGTCTTTTTTTTTAACAATTAAAGGCGTCGCCCCATCACTATTTCATTCGGTAGATTACCTTGTTTTCTTTCAACGTCCTTAACTCTCTTTCAATACTTTCGCAAAGAGTGTATGTCATAGGCCTCGTTTTACGAGAAGCAAACTTCCCTTGAAGCCTTTGATTATGCCATCTCCCTTCTGAAACATGTCGCTGTACTTTTGTTTCAGCGACGACAGTGTATCATGCGTTTAAACCCCCTCATCCTGTTTCCACGCCGCAAGTTTTTACACATTCAGAATTCAAGGGGGAGGGGGGGGGTCGGGTCAGGACATCCAGACACCTCCTCTCTGAATCTGCCACTGCATAGAGATGAATGGCATCAGGTACTGGGAACGGGCACATTTTGCCCATTGAAAGTTTCAGAAAGTTACTTGCCATTTCTGAATAAGAGAATGGCTGGTTCTGTAACTTTGGCATTGTGTCTGGATTGCTAGCGCTACATTTTGACAGAAACCAAACAATTGACCATGCATATTTTGTTTTGGTAAGGAAAAAAACATTGTAATTTTTTTTTCAGAGGCACGCTCTACATGGTGTATGTACATGGCTTCACTGCATGTACACTGCACTACACCGTTGGCACAAACATGACAGTGCTTTTTTGCATTTTACTTCAAAAAGGGTATTGGCAGGCACCAAATTTGACTGCTTTGGTTGATGCCCCAAATGAGCACTTTCCACCAGTCTACTGTGCTTGTTTTCAACTCAAGAACTATAGTAAAAAAAAGTTTGGCTCCTCGTGGAGCATTACTAATTTCCCCCTGTATGTAGAGAAATAAGTTATATGTAGGTGCATTATAGATAGGGTTTCGTGTTTTTGGATAAATCTGAATAAATCGGGAAAACACTCGCCGGTAACTTTTCCGTTGATTCGGATTTATTCGAAAAACTCTGAATTTCGAGGTTACAGCGACAAAATAAAAAGCAAAGAAGGCTTTTTTTTTTTTTAATTAACTTTATAGGCGCACAAGGTCAGTGGTCCAAAGGAGGTACCACTTCAGTTTCCTTTGAAATCCCTAACTACTGAAAAAAATGGTTTGCCTTAGCTCATCAAGGTTGCTTCAAAACAATTTGTTATAGTACCCAAACTTTTATTTTTTATTTTTTTAAATTGGCAATACAGCAAAATAAATTCAGGATTTCAGAGAATTGAGACTCTAACAAAAATAAACTCTGAAAAACACCCTTCGAATTTTACGGGAAATGAACTCGGAAAACATTGAATTATAATTAGATTTTATATATGTTACCTTATTAAGACGTACACATTTCAAATGCCAAAAGCATTGCTTCCTCTGACAACCAAATCTTGTAAGAACAGTGTGTAAAACTTGATCTTTTCTTGAGGTGGCGAGTATAGTGGTCTTGATGACCCTTCGCTATAAAGAGAAAAGCAGAAGAAATCAATTCAATCACTTGTTCGTCCTAAGAGTGTTGTACAGTGTACATGTGCGACACTGTTAGCACAAACAAGCATTCCCGCATGTACATTCGCAGATGATATTGCCACAGGACTGTTCTGGTTGCTCGAGCATGCCGGCGAACTGTCCCCTGGATTTTGGTTTTATGTGAGGCTCGTGGCCTTGCCCCTCGGGCTGTCTTGCGTTAGTGATGTTCCTGAAATGAGCCAGCAGGACGGCCCGCCTCTTGTGTATAAATGTACCTTATTCCTCTTTTTACTAATTAAACCCCTCGAGTTCTTTTATGTTCACAGTCGCCTTTAACAACGAGACAATATAATGAAGCCCAGGCGACCATGTGGCTTTGAAGACCACCAGCGCTATCTAACAGAAGAAAGCTGAGTTATCATCGAGGCTATTGTGTAAATGAGCAGAATATCAGCAGCTGTTTGACTTTTGTCATTACTCCCCACTTGGCCGGCAAACGATTACCATGTCAACACCGAAAACTGATTGCTCAACCTGTCTACCCGTTAAATTCAGCCAAGCTTAATTTGTCCTTTTAGCGCGGAACACCTCTATACTCGGCGAAGCCTTCATTAACTCAGCAACAGCTGGTCTAGTGAGGAGTGATGGCAAAAAACTGCTTTCTTCCAATAGGTAATGTGGCAGGCCCTGTAGGCCACGCACTCTCCTTGGCTTTTTTGTATCATCTGCAACTGTACACTGGGTTACATGCAATGCAGTGTACATGCATCGCGTGTAATGTCACATTATGGTGCTAGGGTAGGGCTGGCTGGTGGCTGACTGGAAACGGCAGACACACTCGTGCCATGGGTGGCACTGAGACACAGCCTCTTCTTGTCAACATAGGTTTTGACTTGTGAACTTTTAGTAGTTTGCCTGCACATTCTTCTAATGATTCTTTGGGGTTATTGTACAAAGAATATCCTGGCATCTTGATCATGCTACAAGTAGAAAGTGGTGATTTACAGCGGCGAAAAGATCTGGTACTCTCGGTCGAAGAGGTTTCAGCTAACACTCTCACTCGGAAGAGTGGTCTTCATATCACGGTAGCAACTGCCGAGTATGGCGCCTATTTGCGATTCAGTCAAACATTGTGTCTCAACTTTACGTTTGTGCTATTGGTGCATTTATAGTCAGTGAAAAGTCTACCCACCTTTTTTTAGAGCGCAGCTCTTAGGCGCCCGTTTCCGGCTTGAGCGGCGTCGCCGTCGGCGTAACCGCACGGTGCACTATGAGACGCGTGATGTCACTGATGACGTCATCAGTGACGATGCCGATGACGTCATCAGTGACGATAGCGATGCCAATGACGTCATCATTGACAATGTCGATGACGATGACGTCATCACGATGACGTCACACGTTACGTCACTGATGACGTCATCGTCACGCGACCCTCGTGCGGCGACGGCGACGCCGGTCAGGGGGAGGAGTAGCAGAGAGTATGAGGAGGTGAGGAGGAGGGAGGAGGGGTATACCTTCCCCTCAGTACCCTTCCCTCCTCCTCCTCCTGAAGAGCTGTGCTCTAATTTGGCGTTACAATGCATTGTAAACGGCTTTAATTTTTTTTTTTTTTTTTTTTTTTAGTCAGCCAATAAGAGCTTGGCACTCTAACATTATTGCAACCCTGGTGCAAGAAGCAGACGAACTTGCGCTCCTCATAGTGTATATTTCTCTTAGTAAAACTGGAAGTGATGCAGAAAACAATGAATATTTTGTATTTTATCATTCTTTGGGCAAGCAAGAGAAATTTTGGCAGAAATAGGAAAATTTCAGGCGTCCGCCAAGGAAATTTTGACTTTCCGTATTGGCAGCCCTGATTCCTAGTTCGGAGGTTGATGGAGTTTTGGTACACAAATACTAGGTTGCAAAACTGTAATGAGTAAAATCTGCCCGCACTTCAGCTTGCTCAGTGAGCTTATTTATGTTTGGATCTGCTTATGTTAGTGAAGCTCATGGTAACTCTTTTGTTTCTTCACAACAGAACCATGGACAGCTCTTGGCTTTGTTTCTGACGGAAACGGTGCAAGAATCACTTGAAAAGGAGAGAAAAGAACTAGAACTAAACAAGATACGCGAAGACGCAGATCTTCTGTCTTCAGTGGATGCAGGTACCGGCATTTTCTTTTCCAGACTATCTGGCTCTCCGGATGAATTGCAATCTGGCTGGTTTTCAGTTTATGAACTCTTGACAGAATTGAATTTTCTAGAAGTATTGACCTAGTATGCTACAATTAGTGGGAGACCATATTTATTAAACATGAAATGTTCATTTTTAATTTTTCTTTAATTCTTTGACTGTTTTATCTGTTTCCATCTTGCCTAAAGAAGTATCACCACGCTAATACACTTGATCATTCAAGAGAGCAAGGAAAGGGGCAGCTTGGAGAACTTAGTTCATCATTCAGTACACTGGAAATGTGCTCTTACAAAGTCATGTTTTGCCATGTAATGGTTAACATATTTAACTTGCTAAATTGGTACTCATAAATGCAAATATAGTGATCGGAGATGTATTTAGAATCTTGACATTCGCTTCAAATCAAGCTAATACTCTACCAGCTGTATTCACTAGTCGTGACTAACTAGCGCTGTTTTAAAGGTAGTGTCGCGTCTAAGTAGTCGCGAACTAAGAGAACAGTTCAGCGACTAAGGATCGACTAGTTCTGCGGTATTCATGAGCGCAAAGTGAGTGGGTGTCTATTTAGTCAGAACTAACAAGCGGAAGTGACATATAAAGATAAGTCACACATACGCGTACTTAAACGCTGCTGCGTAAATGGGTATTTTATCGTATAAAAACTAATACTGTAAACAGGGATGGGCAAAATACATGCAAATATGTATTGAAATACAAATACAAAATACTTCGTCAAAAATGTATTTAATTACAAATCTAATTACATTTCCAAAAAAGCATTTAAGTACAAGATACGAATACAACCAAATGTATTTGTTCTCCTCCAAATACTTTTCCAAATACATTCCTCAAAATTCGCATGAGCGACTTAATTTCAGGGCACCTGCAACAGATTTCTGGGTATCTCTTTTTTAATTTTGCACCGCACACTCGGGAGTTAGTGTGCGAGGCTCTAGTAGTGTAGTAAAAAAATAATCACAAAAAAAAAAAAAAAATGTAATCAGCTTGGACGTAGTAGGCGAAAAAAGTACAGAGCTTCAAGCAGCTTTTTTGTCGATTATATTTTGGTATAGACCAACAAAGAACCGAGACGACCAAGACGCGCAGCACTAGCTAGAGAATTTTTGATTGTTGCAACTCGCTCCAGTTACGTAAATCTGGACGCCCCGCGCATTTAAAATGTTCCAGGCAAAAATATGGATGGAAATCAGGCTGGAAAGCATCACAAGTTGTCACAGGCACTTATTTAGCCAGTCTGCCTGTGAACGTCGATTTCGTCCCTATTCTTGCCCTGGACTAACACCGTAATCACGAAGTCACTGAACGCTTGTGCTTGATTGAGAGACACTGCATTCGGTGCAGAACATAGTTTTCTTCCTGCTCTGGACAGTGACAATAAATTTGAGGGATGTATTTTCGCCCACAAAATTGTATTTAATTATAATTGTATTTGAAATACCCAAGTTTTAGTATTTAAATATACACGTCAAATACATTACCCAATTTGTAATTAAATACAAATGCAAAATACACAAAGTATTTTAAATACATATTTCAAATACTTGTATTTGAAATACTGTAAACAACTAAATTTTTGTGGGGTCCTAATTTTCGTGAATCGCCTACAATTCGCAAAAAATACGTCCCGCGAGCAATTCGGGCAATATGTGAACACTACGGAAGCTACACTCAATTTACGAAAATTATAACCCGCAAATAATTTCAAATTTACAGCTTTGGCCCGATTCGCGAAAATTTGAGCCCGCGAAAATTAAGTCGTTTGCAGTATTTGAATGTTTATCAGGGAAAAAAAGTTACAATGAGAGTCTAATTGTCCGAGACAAAGTTTTACAAACAACACAAGGGAGAAACACGGAAGTCGCATAGAGAGCGACATAAACAAATATGGAAGCGCCCTTAAATGTGTTTTTTTCTCGTCGTCCAGCGCCCTGCTGAGATCTCTTTAGCGGTATCTCTGACCGTTGAACATGGCTATTTACATAATATTTGCTCCTCCAATTCTTTCTAGATGTATAACCCAGCGTTCCAAGATAGTAAGTGCTTTGTTAGCGCTGGCGGTCTGCGATGAAATGAGTCGGCCATGGCGCTGAGCCGCTAGTCATCTGCTAAGCACCGGCTAAACTAGCCCTACCCCATATATAAGATTTGTTAGTTCACTTCTTAGTCGCGCGGGGCGGTTAGGCCCTAAACACGATCGGTGAATACCAAGCGCTCACTTAGCGGCGGCTATCGCTCGCCACATGAACATTTTAGTCAATGACGTTGCTAGTCAGTGTTAAAACAGGCTCTACTCGCACCTGGTGAATACGGGTGCACATGTTTGTTGTATGCTTATTAAAAGTCATTCGAGCAGGTCATGTCACGAATACTGAGAATGAAAAGAGCAGGGTCAAAATGCATGTGTATAATATAGGGTCGGCTGGATTTTGGGGGGAGGGGCTGAAGCCCTATAAGCCTCCCCCCTGGCTACGCCACTGTCGCTGGCCTACTGTTGTCTGCTGATTTTCTTTACTGCAGTTAACTGTAATGTCAAGGGCATGATTTTTTTTACACTCTTTTACTATAATTGAACTGTGCGTTTAACATAGAATATGGGCAATGTAATAATGTGCATAATTTTGCTGAAGGCATATTTTGATCATATTGATGAGGTTTGAAAAATGTTTTATATTCCTAGAAGTTTAGAAACTAATATGCCATCTCATTTCTATTCTAACTACTAACTACAGTACTTTAGGCAAGAATATATTACTATATGACTTTATGAAATGGCAAAGATATGCCGATATGACATGTCATATTCAGTACTTGTGAATTTTGATGGCGATTATTCTTGCACATCTCTTCACAAAACTGCTTTCTTGTTATAGTTGTGCCATCGAAGAAAGCCACATTAATATGCACAGCCTACATGGTAGTAACATTTAAAGAAACAGCCAGACGTGTTCTGAAGCAGTCTATAATTATGGTGCCTAGAACGTGTCTGCGACTGGTGTGTTTACGGTGTCCTTGGTCCCTCGATTTCTGTCTGATGACGTTGCAGAAGTGTCATACCGTTGCTTGCCGCGATTCTGGCAGTGTCACAAAAGTGGAGGTAGATGTAGCAGACACCTGTTCTGCTGTAGCAGATACCTGTTCTCCAGCTTGACAGTCCACGGAAGCTTGGGCAGCCAGGAGTTTGGATGCCGTCACGATAGCGACACTCGCATTCTTTTACGCTTTTTGCCAGAATTCTACGGCCAGCCGCCAGAACCGCGACATCTGGCAGCATGACATTCAGACTTCTGTGACGTTATTTGTTACCACTTCGAGACCACTTTTAGTGCATGGGCAGAATAAGATGCTAAACACACCAGTTGGGGACGCGTTCCAGGCACCATAATTATAGACCACTTCAGAAACATCTCACTGTTTCTTTAAATGTGGCTACCATGTAGGCCGTTGATTGTGGTGTTTGATTGTGGTCAACATTAAACCAGCAACCTAACACGCTGTCATTGTCATCAGGCTCGAAGTACATGAAGCACACAATGCTCCACTTTGACGGGGTTGTCCATTCACTGCCCTGACAAAGAGCCGAAATTATTCATACTTAAAGTGTCATTCGTCTACACTGAATTTTACCTGCTGGTAGCTGAAATGTTGTGTGATCAAATACCCATATCCTTGAACTATGCTTTGCATGAGCTATGCTGGGCATCATGATGATGTTACCACTTATTTGCACTGTGGAAATGCAGCACTTACCAGTTACCATTTATTTGCACTGCAGAAAGGCAGCACTTGTAATGATGATTGCATGTGGATGGTTTTAGTGTGACTTTTCTTCAAAATTAGTGCTGGAAATGTGCAATATATAGGACTTTTAATATCGGTGTTGTATGTAATACTAAAGAAAAATCATGTGCTCCGTGTGTACTGCTAATGCTGAAGGCATGAACTATACATGCCTTGCACGTGACGTCATATGGCACTGTACCAGCCGCCATTACTCCGTACCATACTACTGTTTCCGTACCTTGTGCAGCATACATTTGGCACCATTGAATTTGTCTTCTCGGCAAGGCTTGCCGAGAAGACAAATTCAATGGTGCCAAATGTATGCTGCAAAAGGTACAGAAACAGGAGCATGGTATGGAGCAGTGGCGGCTAATTTGACGTCAATGCAAGCCATGTATACACTGGCAAAGAAATATGCTGTAACTAAAGTTGTAGAAAATTGAAGCAAGTGCTGCATTCACTGTCACTTACATCCCCCAATCAGCATTGCTCGCTGCATTGCTCACTGCATAAAGATCAGGGGCGAATTTAGAGGGGGGGCCCGGATGTCCTGACCCCCCTCTTGATTTCTGCATGTGTAAAATTTAGGGCGTAAAACGAAGGAGAGGGGGTGGGGGTTCCTAAACATATGGTACGCTGACCAACACTGGACCCCCCCTCAGGAAATTCCTGCATCCGCCCCTAATAAAGATGCAACGCATAAATGATGAAAAACAATAACGGTGATGTATGTTTTGGATACAGATGATCCTGACAACCGGTACTACATGCAGATTGCAGATCAGACTGGCAAACCCATTCCCCTTCCAGTGGAAGAGAGAAAGGCCCTTGGCCTAGCCATGGTGCTGCACGAAAAAGGGCGTTCTGCGATGAAGCGGAAAGAATACAGCGAGGCTTTGATACTTTTCCTTGAAGCGGACAAAGAGTTTGGGTATGTATGTGCCTTTTCCATAAGTGCTGTCCCCATGTTTAAAAACATGGCACAGTACACTCTCATTAATTCAAACTCCACCGCAATTTTGTTTGAATTATCAGAAATTCATCTAAATATGATGCAAGATAAAATTATGATTTACCATATCAATGGTTACACATACAGAGTAGATATTGGATCATTTCCTCTACATAGGCCTACTGATCATAAGCTGGTGTGCCACACATGAAACAATAGTGGCAGTGGGGCTAGTTGGTACATCATTCCTTTTGACAGAAGCGCAACAAGACAAGGACAGAAAGTAAGAGACGCAGCACAAGCGCTTGTGCTGTGTCTCTTACTTTCTGTCTTTGTCTTGTTGTGCTTCTGTCAAAAGGCACTCATGAAACATTTGTGAAATGAATGACATAAATTCATTTATTCCTCAAAAATGTTGTTTACCGTGGGCTGTTTGACAGCACATGACAGCTCAAAACAAAATTAAGTTTTATCATCAGGCCAAGAAGTTGTCTAATGTGGACTATTAAACAGGGGACACATGAGCGATGAAAATGGCACCGCACAACAGTTTTCATAGCAACTTGCGTGGATGCCGTGACGCGGACCTATGCCATGCCGCCACGTTGCAGCATCCGCACAAGTTACTGCGGAAATCTTCGCGTGGTGCCCGTTTTCATAGCTCATGTGTGCCCTGCTTGAGCCCCGTTGAGTATGCATCTCGCCAAGCACGGGTGCACTGCGGAGAAGCAACACCTGCGGAAGCAAGCTCCGCGGGTGTTGCCTCTCTGCAGTGCACCGGTGCTCAGAAAGAAGCACACTCAACGGGGCCGCCAGAACAAAAAAGTATGAATTGCACGAAAATGCCGTTCGAATTAAGCGGCTTATAAATACATTAAGAACATAGTGGGACAACCAAAATTTTGAATTAACCAGCAGTATGAAATATCAGAGTTGGAATCATCGCAATCCTACTGTACATAGACTTTTACATCTGGTCCAGATTGCTAGCGCTGCATTTTACTTATTTATTTGTTTACACTTGATCCTGCTGCACCCTCTGGGGTATTATAGCAGGGAGAGGGGTGCATAAAGAGTTGAAGAAAATTAACATGGTGAATATGATAGTGGAAATAGTGAGGATGACAACAGGTTCCAGTCTCTTGCAGTATGAACAAAAATGATGAGTGAAAATGTGACAGGGTTTCTACTTTGAACGGGTGATTTAGTCTCTTAGACAGATAGTGTGATGCCATCTGGTAGTTCACCTTGTGGATTATTGTGTGATCATGGAAAAGGTTGTAGAAAAATGTTTGCCTGGGGGTTTTTCATCGGGTAGCTATTAATGACCAGTTTAGGTTGTCTTTCATTTTCTAAACACTCTGACGTGGACGACAGTTATTTAAAACAAGTCCAGGACTTCAATGTTTTATTGCTTCTATCTTGTCGATTTGTTTGTAAAGGGGTCCTACACAATACAACAATATTGGGTCATTCCATATGAAACGTCCCAGACGTTGCGCTCGACCACCTCCGATTTCTAAAAAAAATTCATGGGCTTCGGCCACAATGTCCGTAGCCATACCCTAAAATAGTTTTGACGAAAAAAAATTTGTGATGACGTGAGCGCGATTTTAATTTTTGAAAACAGCGTGAAACTAGGCATCACTCAATAATTTACGAAAAATCAGATTTTTTATGAAATACCCTACAATATTTTTTTCTTAAATTTGCATGGTTGTCGGCTTACAATGTGGTTGAGTTTGTGCAGTTTTGTTTAATTTAAATATTTTTAAAAAATGCATAATTTTATTCAAAAATAAACATTTTTGTTATTTTATTAAAAAATATATATTTGCTCCCGGGACCTAATATAACTGTTTATTGGTTGCCCTCTAGGTATATAACCTATAAAAAAATATTTTAAACCGCTGAATTAAACACCTTGCAGTAAAACAAAAATCCTGAAGTTGCCAAAAAGTGTGTTTTGACGCATAAACAGCCGTTTATTCCACCTTGAGGTGGTCCAAATAAAAATACAAAATATGGTGGGTTTGGAAGAACGATTGATCGTCTTTTGATTCTGAAAGTTTAATCAGAGTAATTTTTGTTTAAAGCGAGAAAACAATTTTTGAAGTTGAACTCTCGCACCACTACCCGGCGTCACTTCTCAACGCCTCTTCCCCGCACAGCACGCCACCTGTGACGATAGCCGAAGCGATTAGGTCCAAAGAAACAACGGAGTTTGCTGCCCGCTTCCCCTCGTCCCTCTTTTCTGGCTGTAAGGGAAGAAACGGCGGGTATCGTGTACTAATCGGAGGTGCCACCAGTGCGTCGCCATAGCAGGCACGTTGTGCCCTTTGTACCCAAGGGCGGCTCCTCACACTCCGAAACGCGATGCCTAATTGACGGGCCGCATCAGCTGACTTGGACTTCTTCATGCAAATGCCAAAGGTCCCACGGCGATCTCCGATTCCTAAAATAAAATTAATGGTTCTTCACCATAATGTTCGTGGTGCTTCTCTAAAATATTTTTGACGAGAAACAAATTTCATGGGGTGATGGCGGTTTGAACTCGTAAAAAGGAGTGAAACTAGGAGTCATTTATTAATTGATGAAAATTAAGATATTTTTATAGAACAGTGGACTATTTTTATTCCTTAAAACCACATGGTATTTTGATTGTTGTGTAATAAGGATCATGGATATTCGCTTAAAGCAATTTAAAAAAAAAAGTTAATATATGAGAATTTTAGCCTTTTTGAGTTTGGTTACAAACTATCTCGTTGCTGCAGGTGATTAAACATCTTATTGGCAACCCTATAAATATTATGCAGACAAAAAAGTTTCGGGCCGTACAACTAAATATCTTGCAGAAAAAACAACTTATTTTTTGCAAAATGTCGTTCTGCCGTTTAAAGAGCCGTCAATTCTGCCTTGAGGTGGCCGAAAACAAAAAGCGAAACATGATAACTTTTACAGAAGAGTTTTTTGCCTTTTGTCCTTGAATGTTTAATTAAACTAATTTTGTTCTAAATACGAAAAAAAAGAATCATTTTGAAGTTGAGCTCTTACGTCGCAACCTGGTGTCGTTTCTTGTACGTGCCTCTTCTCTGCACAGCACGGACACGTGTCTTTGTTTAATCATTATTTCCAATGGGTCATGTAAAGATTCCCGCACTGACAATATGGACCGAAAATAATGTCAGGAGCGCAATCTTGGCTTGTGACGATGCTTCAAGCGTCCGAGATAACATACTGAATCAGCGCGTTTCAGAGCTTTGATCATTCGCCTGTCGCCTTCATTTCGCTCCAACTAAGCGCGAACCGGGTCATAGTTCCGCTTTTAACCGCAGCATGCGTGGCGGCTAGGTTTCGCGGCGATATTATCGTGTTTCAGACATCCACGTCAGCTGATGCGGCCCGTCGATTAGGCATCGCGTTTCGGAGTGTGAGGAGCCGCCCTCGGGTACAAAGGACTCAACGTGCCTGCTATGGCGACGCACTGGTGGCACCTCCGATTAGTACACGATACCCGCCATTTCTTCCCTTACTGCCAGAAAAGAGGGACGAGGGGAAGCGGGCAGCAAACTCCGTTGTTTCTTTGGCCCTAATCGCGTCGGCTATCGTCGCAGGTGGCGTGCTGTGCGGCGAAGAGGCGTTAAGAAGCGACGCTGGGTAGTGGTGCGAGAGTTCAACTTCAAAAATTGTTTTCTCGCTTTAAACAAAAATTACTCTGATTAAACTTTCAGAATCAAAAGACGATCAATCGTTCTTCCAAACCCACTATATTTTGTACTTTTACTTGGACCACCTCACGGTGGAATAAACGGCTGTTTATGCGTCAAAACACACTTTTTGGCAACTTCAGGATTTTTCTTTTACTGCAAGGTGTTTAACTCAGCGGTTTAAAATATTTTTTATAGGTTATATACCTAGAGGGCAACCAGTAAACAGTTATATTAGGTCCAGGGAGCAATTATATATTTTTTTAATAAAATAACAAAAATGTTTATTTTTGAATAAAATTGTGCATTTTTTAAAAATATTTAAATTTAGCAGAACTGCACAAACTCAACCACATTGTAAGCCGACAACCATGCAAATTTAAGAAAAAAATATTGTTGGGTATTTCATAAAAAATCTGATTTTTCGTAAATTATTGAGTGATGCCTAGTTTCACGCTGTTTTCAAAAATTAAAATCGCGCTCACGTCATCACAAATTTTTTTTCGTCAAAACTATTTTAGGGTATGGCTACGGACATTGTGGCCGAAGCCCATGAATTTTTTTTTTAGAAATCGGAGGTGGTCGAGCGCAACGTCTGGGACGTTTCACATGGAATGACCCTATTCTAAAATTCATTGAATGAACGTAAAATACTGATTACTAGTCTTTCATTGTTTGTTGCAATATCAAAAATTTATTTTTTTTTTTAGAAAGCCTGACATTTGGTTGTCTTTTTTAGTTAGGTAATCAGTATGTATGTTCCGCGCTAAATCGTCGGAGAAAATAACATCCAAGTAGTGAATGCTAAAAACACTTTCTAATTAGCAGTCGTCTAACACATACTCTTGTTGACGAGGCGACTTTAACCTTTTTTTTTTAGAAAATTTTGTATCCTTACATTTACCCACATTTAGTTTTATTTGCCAATTTTTACATCATTTCTTAACCCTATTCAAATCAAGCTGTAAAGTGTTGAAGTCATCATGGTCAGATATTGATCTATAAATTATATAATCATTCGTAAACAGCTTTAAATGGGAAGATTTATTTTTAACTGTGATATTAACTATCCAGAGACTGCGCGTTGAGTGATGCATAGTTCCATTTTGCAGTGAAGAAAGGACTGCAATTATTTTTCCTAGACACCCTTTACATACGGTGTTATTCAATCTAGCTTTTTCACTTAAAAGGTGATAAAATACTGATGCCCTTTAATATAGTTTCATTAATATAACTACAGTTCTACAAGCAAGCATGTTCTTCTGCATTTACCACACAGCCTCTTGCAGGCACCGTTGTTACAGATGTACAGTGCTCACCAAACTTATATGGAATATGCAAACCGTGTCTTATCTCATGGGAGCACTATCCTGGCAGCAGTCAAACAAAAAATTCCATGATGTTGTGCTTAGTGGAACAGCTCAAGCAGGAGATGCCACTCACTCAGGGCCGAAATTGTGACTGAACTGGGGACATTGCAGCAATTTTGCCAGCCTGTGCTTATCACGCTTATCACCACCCAACGATACACATTGATTGCCCAGTGTCAACAGTGCGGAAATCATGAGTTATTAGGTGGCTCATTCATTAGAAATATGAAAGACCAGCCCCCCAATTACTGTCGATTCCAAAAGTTGCCTATCAGTGGCGTAGGCAGAAAGGGGAGAGTTTCGTGACCAAACCCCCCCCCCCCCCCCCCCCCTCAATCCCCCCATCATGGAGATAGCCGCTCCAACTGGAAAAAATTCCTGGTGAGGAGGTGGCAATAAATGCAGATGCCTGACTGGCAAAATCACTGCAGTGTCCTTAGTTCAGCTGTATTTTTTTAATCGAAAGCATTAACTGTCTTATGGAGCGAGCTGACGTCATCAGTTTGAAGTGTGAAAACGGCACCTAGTTTCCTTGATCCCTAAGGTTCCATTGGCTGGCGCACGTCGACGGGGCTCCCATTGGGCGCTACGCTCATCAGTTTCCTCGAGCAGCTTACCTCATGGCGCTGCGCAGTGGCGTAGCCAGAAAATATTTTCGGGTGATGTTTCAAGGTACTGGTGCAATCACACACACAATAAAAAAATAAAAAAAAAAAATATATAAATAGGTATTTCTCTCTCTCTCTCTCTCTCTCTCTCGGTATATATATATAGATATATAATAGGTATGGTGGCAAGGGGCCAAAGGCGTGGGTGTCACTGAGAAGAAAAGAAAACCCTCGGTGAAAACAGCAACAACGGACGGTTTATTCTTCAACGTTTCGGCCGGAGTCTGGCTTACGAAGGCCGGACTCCGGCTGAAACATAGAAGAATAAACCGTTCGTTGTTGCTGTTTTCACCAAGGGTTTTCCTTTATTCTCAGTTATATATATGTGTATATATATATATATATATATATATATATATATATATATATATATATATATATATATATATATATATATATATATATATATATATATATATATATATATATATATATATATATATATATATATATATATATATATATATATATATATATATATATATATATATATAATAGAATAAAATTTTGGGGGGCGTTCTGACACCTGAACAGCCCCCCGGGCTACGCGCCTGGTGCTGCGTGTCCATCAGCGTGCCGTGAACATGGGGCGTCCAAGGTCAGCGTGCCCGGGGGAGCACGCGCACTGAGTGGCGATGAAAAGTACTCGGCAGATGAAAAAGGGAGAGGACGAGCGGCTTGCATGCTTTCGCATTCACAACTCGTAAGAAGTGCTTAGGTGTACCTTGAGCTTTTTTCTGTGAACAAACAGCACCCACTGCTCAAGTTGTTCCATTGAACGCTATGTCACTGAGCTGTTTTTCGGCTGCCGTCAGGATGTAATTCCCATAATATGAGACAGCTGCTAGTTTGGTGACCTGTCCAAACTAAGCAACATGACATAAAATTATGCTTTCCTCTAAAACTGGTCTAGTACATAGCCTTTGGAGAAAGCTGAAATGAGTTGTTTTCTCTTTATTTTGGAGAAATTCCACTCTAGAAGAGCAAGTATAAATGTGTAAGGTGCCATTGTTCTTCTGGCATAATGCGCTGCATGGCACTGTGTGCATACAAAATTTACTGGGCATAGAAGGGCCCTGCACTTGTGCAGAACTAGGTAGGCCAAGCTGCAATAAAGCCTCTCATTCTTTCCTCATTGTCTTGCATGGCTGGTTTGGATATTAAAATAAGGGGTAAAGTAACATAACTTTATTAGTCAAAACAAAAACAATTCAGTGTAGTTTTAAAACAAAAAAATTGGACCTCACATTTAAGAAAACATGAAGTCTAAACTTTCTCTTCTTTATCAAAGTAATTGAGGAAATGTCCTGAACCGATTCTTAAGTTGGCACCGCTTGTCCTTTAAAAAGAACTACTACTAAAAATTATAGCCGCTCTCTGAAATGCAGCTACTGTTTGTGTTTACATGCATCGACACTCAAGTTCAATGACAAGCGTAAGAAACAGCACTAACGACCAGGCTGAAAATTAGGTTTCTAATTTGGGTTTGAACTCTTTGGGTTTCCCTCTTGATAGCGGTTGGGAACAAAACTCTGGATGTAAGCCGTCGATTAGTTGAGGTTCTCCTCCACCACTTTTGCTTCCTTAAGAACAACTAAGTGTCATATATGGCTAGCGTGGCAGGGAATGATATGGCATTGATATCTAGGTATATTCTGTCTCTCCTTCTATTAAACTTGCTTTGTGGAGGCTTAGCTAAATATAAATGTAGTAGAGATTGTACAAGTGGATATGTAAGGTGTTGGATTTTGCTTTCTTTCAGACATTGCAATTCAGAGCTACTGAAGAGTGTGGACAATTATGCCCTCCTATGCCTCGACATTACATGGTGCTATCTCTCCCTGCAGAGTGTAAATCAGCTCTTTGATGCAGAGGCACGATTGAAAGCCTGTGAGATGGGATTTCATCGATGTTATGGCGAAAACTTGGAACGCCTTACAGCAATCAAGGCAAGTGGTATCTAGAACATTTGAGCTTTCCGGAAATGTAAACATATTTCAATAATTTTGATGTCATTTTCATTTCCCCATGAAGCATTCAGTTTTTTTTAAGTCTCCCTAAAAAAAGGGAACTTGCCAATCTCACATTTTTCGTCCTATATGTAGTAGATGACCTTTGATCACCAGAAGTGAGGAAGCAAGTGCTGCTCATTTGAAAGTAGAATAGCGGTTACAGTAAAGTTTGGCTGGTGCAGTGACGTGGTATACAGTATTCTGTGTCATATGGCCTCTTAAAAGCACAACAAGCAGCATTATGCTGAAAGTGTAGTGACTGACAGCATAAAAACAGCAGAGAGCTTGAAGCTTTTGTAGGCCCCGCCTCCCACCTGACGACTGGCGCACAGCCTGTTTACTTATACTTTGCACGGTGCACTACCTACGTGTTGGGATAAATAGGTCCTATGAAATTTACCGCAACCTGGAACTTGTAAATGTTAGAGAGGCAAAATTATTAAAAATATGAGAACACTGCATTCGTGTCAGTGGTGTCATAAGTGATAGGGACATGGGAGGAGGGTGATGGTGATTTCCCTCCCTTTTTCCTGAATTGTTTACTTTAGAAATATGTCTGTGGGGGGCAATCCCCATTCCCGTTCCAATGCCACTGATACATGTGGTTGTTGAATACACTGCCTGTAGCTCATCAATACTGCTTGCTCATGCGAGTTCAGTATTGAATGAATGTAAAGAAACTGTCAGTTTTGTCTGCCGGTAAGCTACTTGAATAGCGAGATCTGGCGAAGCATCTCTCTGTTATTTCCACATTGTTTGTATTGTTTACATTTTATAAAAACGAAAAAATAGTATTAAAATATTTGTCACTTCTTTCCTTAAAATTTAGTAGTTTAGATTGTCTGCACTGTGCTTTATATATTTTAAGCAGCGAAATGGGAGCAGGAAGGGGGAGGAGGGGTGGGAAATCTCTCTCCCCATTCGACACCCCTGATTTTAAGCGACAAGTACCGTATTTACTCGATTTTCCTACTATTTTCCGCTGTCATTTGTGACTGCATGCTACCGGTAGGCTGTCACGTGGTCTCGCTGTCTGGCCACGCGAGGTATGGCGCACAGGCTATCGAAATGAGCAAGTATTTCTTTTGTTTTGAGAGTAAACCTTTTCTTAAAAATGCTATTGAGCGCCTCCATTGTGTAATTGTTCAATCGTGTCCGTAATCTTCTCGTCAACATGGACATCGCCGTCACCCACAGTACGTACCTTCGAGTATCCCACATGTGCTTCCAGTGCGTGAACAATCAATGAATCGGGTCACACACCCATACTTAGCGTGTATGTGCTGCTCATAGTTTTTCTGCCAATTCACTATTTACCTTGGGACTCACTTTTGTGGTGAGTTTTTTTCTATCTGCACGTGCTTTCTACGAGCGTCCGATCGATGTCTGGTTGTAGTAAACCGTGCTTCCCTGTTCATGCTCTCAAATCACCGCTTTAAGAAGTTTGGCACTACAATTGCTCTTTGGCATCAGTTCGTATAAGCTTGAGGTACCTGGTGCCTACCTAACTTTGCAGCAAGTCTGTGTTTGTTGTCCTCATCTATACGCATTGGACTCGGGTTTGCCTTTTCCGTTTTTTTTTGTTCTTTTATATTTTATCTCGGTGCGTATTGGCGCTGATGACTTATTGGAACCAGGGTGGAAAACAATAACGTATAAAGAAGAAAAATCAGATTTATGTGATTTAAATCAGATTTTTTATGATTTCAGTTGCTGATAAGCTGCGTTAACATTTTCTGCTCCTACTCTGCTCAAACTGTACACTTTTCTGCTCCGAAGTTGCTTCAAGATGCGTAAACTGCTGCTCCAAAACGAGAATTTCATGCTCCTAAGCTGCTCCAAACTCCAGATTTTTCTGCTCCAAAACTTGCTCCACAACCTGTTCAACCCCTGTGGGGCACTGACAAGCATGTTGAGTGGAGCAAGCAGTGCGTCCAGTTTTCCTTTTATTTTTTTTTTTATGGGGACTGCACTGCTAGTGCTGGCAGTGTGTGACTATGTAGCTCAATGGACTGTGTCAGTGTGTATGTAGGGGTATGCCTTGCAGTTCTTGCATTGTCAGTCATTATGGAATGTGTTTATGCTCCTTAAGTGGAGGGAATATATGTTTAAAAATGTAGCATGATATGGCTCCTTTGAATTTGCCATATATTTGAAACTGAACTTTTTTCACAAATGTAGTGGCATTGGGTCCACACTCTTTTTTTCTCATTTCAAGGAGCATGGTGATTAGATAGATGTTTGAAGGAAGGACATAGGGCAGCATTTAAAAAAACTTGTCATGTGGTTTATTCTGCAAAATGTGAGCCGGGCTGAGAGGGAACCACATCTGGCACCATCCCTCGTGATTTCCTAACTTAGATTAGCCAAATTCTTATTCCCAGTGAATCAGGGCATCATCTATGCCGCGCATGGATTTCCAGCCACTCTAGCTGTCAGCCGACATCTTGCATAAATCTTTGAGGAGGTGTGCAGTGCTAATTTTGTTTTGATTGGAAGCAATATCACACTGCTGTCACTTTCAAAAGCTCTCTCGCTGCAATTGCTTTTTTCTAGTTTCATGTTATCTGGAGTAGCTTAAAGGAAAGATGCAAATCGAAAAACGGCAGGGCAGGGCAGGGCCAGGGCCAGGGCCAGGGCCAGGGCCAGGGCCAGGGCCAGGGCAGGCAGGGCCAGGGCAGGCAGGGCCAGGGCAGGCAGGGCCAGGGCAGGCAGGGCCAGGGCAGGCAGGGCCAGGGCAGGCAGGGCCAGGGCAGGCAGGGCCAGGGCAGGCAGGGCCAGGGCAGGCAGGGCCAGGGCAGGCAGGGCCAGGGCAGGCAGGGCCAGGGCAGGCAGGGCCAGGGCAGGCAGGGCCAGGGCAGGCAGGGCCAGGGCAGGCAGGGCCAGGGCAGGCAGGGCCAGGGCAGGCAGGGCCAGGGCAGGCAGGGCCAGGGCAGGCAGGGCCAGGGCAGGCAGGGCCAGGGCAGGCAGGCAGGCAGGCAGGCAGGGAGGGACAGAGGCAGACGCAGGGGCAGACGCAGGGGCAGACGCAGGGGCAGACGCAGGGGCAGACGCAGGGGCAGACGCAGGGGCAGACGCAGGGGCAGACGCAGGGGCAGACGCAGGGGCAGACGCAGGGGCAGGGGCAGGGGCAGGGGCAGGGGCAGGGGCAGGGGCAGACGCAGGGGCAGACGCAGGGGCAGACGCAGGGGCAGACGCAGGGGCAGACGCAGGGGCAGACGCAGGGGCAGACGCAGGGGCAGGGCCAGGGGCAGAGGCAGAGGCAGAGGCAGAGGCAGAGGCAGAGGTAGGCAGGCACAAGGAGGCAATTTTTTTTTTCGCTGTTCACTCTTTTTTTTTTTTTTATGTGGACAGAGATGCAACTGTGGGGCCCGACAGAGGTTCTGGAACTCTACATTCAACATGTCAGTTTTAACATTTAATGAAGAATGCGGTGTAATTTCCTTAAGAAAGCACAAAGTAAAGCAAAGAGGAAACGTCAGAAAATATCACTGTCAATATCGGTGTCAAGATGTGCCGTTCACGGTATCAATACTGTGATACCACAATGGATGTCAATAATGAATATATATTTAACAGGCAAACCTCTCCGTTCTCCTTCACGTCAGTGGGAGGAGGAGCCAAGGAGCTAAGCACCATGGAGGAGAGGCAATGAAGCGACTCGTGCTCTGATGCCACTGTGACGTTAGCTTCATATAGAAACCACTTTTGAGCCAGCGCACTCAAGAAAACAAAAATTTCACGCAAAATAATCTTTTTTTTTTTTTTTTGCAGAAGATTTTTTTAGGGGGTGTCTTCAGACAAACTAAGGGGGGTGGTTACGGAAATAACTAATTCGATTTCAAAAATATTGTTTGGCAACATGCAATTTATATGTGGAGAATCACTGCAATCCCTTCTGGAATGTTGGAGCAGTTAAGGCTTGAAAGGCATAGTACTTGGTCCTCTGCTGTGGCTTGCCGATACCCTTTGTTGGTTTGGCACGTAAAACCCCCCAATTTGACTAGTGTCAACATAGGAATTCTTAAAAGAAAACTTTGTTCCATTGTCTGTAGGGGGCATTTCTGTAGTTCTTTATCAAAATAATTCTGCTAATCAAAAACATTCTCACCTAGGGTGGCTCAGACAAGGAAGCAGCTCTGTACAGCCGCTTGTACCTGCTGCAAGGTATCGTGGCCTTTCATCAGCAGCAGTACCCCCAGGCACAGCAATATTTGGAGCGGGCAGCTTCCACCATAGCACGACTCAAGGTGGATGACGAAGCCATGACTCAGGTAAGGCCTCTGTTTTCTTCTTTTGCAAACTTTGTAGTAAACACATGCTCTAGTATCAAAATTCGTCGATAAGCGAGTATTTGCTTTCTTCCACTCGAAGGATACTTGCAACAGAAAGTGATGATTAAAGTGTAGAAGCACACATTTTACAAAATGTTTCCTGTGTAAGAGCAAACCTCACCCTGTTAAGAATTCCTTAATGCACTGCACGTAGTCATCATGATTATTCAAAGGCTGAATTCAGCTTCTTTGACTTAATGGCTGTCTCATTGTTTCTGATAAATCATTAGGGAGGAGAATAAAAAACAGGATTATACTCAGTATTTACAATAAGATGTGGGTTTGATGAAGGTGTCGGGCCGTTCATTCACTTTGTGTTCACTGGTGTGGTTGTACAAGCATTCCACCCCACAATTAATGAGTAGCCTTGGTGGTTCCTCGGTTCAGAATTATTTTACACTCAAAACAATACAATCACTTAGTGGTCATAAATAAAATTTATCATCAAAGCGTCCACGAAAGAAAAGTTGAAAGTGGACTGTACAGCAAGGGGTCCCCAAATTTTGGTCTGCATCCATCTCCTCATCACTCCCATTCACGGAACTGTCACAATCATTCTCTGAGGATTCATCACAGGAACTTTCAGAGCTCTCTTCACGGTTGTCTTCTCTGCTAAAATCACCTTCACTGTCACTTAAATCACTAACATATTTTCCGTAAAAAGCAAACGAAAAGTAAATTGCAATAATCAACAATGTGCCTGCAAAAAATTCAGCTTGTCCAGAAAAAGGAAGTTGAAAATTTTAATTTTTTATGCCATCTCACATAAATGCTAAATTAGACGACATCATGCTTATGCTGCTGATGGTAGATGGGACCGGTCAGAATTGTCGGGGCGCTTGCAATAACTGTCAGGGGAGCCCAGACGCCTGACTGCAGCGAGAATATATTCCTTTGTCGGGTAACTTCGGACACATGACCATAAAGTTTTAATGGACTCTAACAGCTAGAAAAGATGTGTATTAATTGATTGTGTTTTGTCGCTACGCCTTGAAAATATATCCCCACTCGGTGTTCCAACACTGGCGAGGAATCAAATGTTTAAATACCAACAGAAAACTTCAATCTTTTGGACTATGTAATGGTATGCAACGGAAATGGTGAGCAGATCAGAAATAGTTTTTTCTTCTTGCCATCACCTCCAAAAAGATAAATTAGTTACCTGGAGGGGCACAATATAGACCTTTGCAAAAATCGCCTTCTGCACACTGCCATCTTTGTTTGCTGGGCTGTGGAACACCTTCTGAGCAGCTAAGTGACTCGGCATTGTTTGCCCCGGTGATAAGTGCTGGAAAGGTCTATAGAGGAGGGCATCATGTCCAATCAAGTTTGTGAATAAACAAAATAATAATTATAATAATGTAACTGCACACCCAGGCTCATGCTGCACAGAACTGAATGAAAGGTTACGTAATAAAAGGTCACACATGTGTGCAGATATTTCGAAACTCAAAACATGTTTATCAGTTATACATGCTGCTTCAATCAAATAAAAATAAAATTGTTTTTCTTTTTTTTTTCTTTTTTTTTTTTTTTTGAGAAGGTTATTTAACATTTTTGACTGGAGATTTGTCAAGTTGCAACTCATAGTTATTGGGCTCTGTTTGCAAATTTTGGGAACTTCCAAGGCTTCGATGGCTAGTTCAGCTGTACTGCGGCGACTTCTTGGAAGAACCTCAATACAACAACATTTCCTTCTGTTGAGTTACCAAAGGTGAAAATAGTGAGACCTTCCTCATCAATTCATTGGAAGAAGTGCCGATTTCCACTGTCATTGAGCACTCGATGCAACATCTCAACTTGTCCGTTTTCGCATACCTTGGCAGTCAATTGTAGTACGTGGTTTGAGTTATTTGATTGAGCACTGGATCTCCTTTGAGTTGAGGATTTTTGCACAGGGCTGTTTGACAGTGCAGCCAATTTCGAGTTGTACATGGCAGTCAAATGTCTGCCACCACACTTCCCGCATAAAGGCTCTCGCACGCTTTTGCAGTCTCTTGACCGATGAAATTGTTTCACGCATCGAAAACATTGGAGGCGGGATTCTTAAAATTATCTTGCGACAAAAAAGGTTGTAAATATAACTTGCGTAAAAATTAACAACTTCTCGATATTCTTGAAGCAAAATGTTTGTAAATTTTGCGTGAGATAACACGAAATCCTACAACAGGGGTCTAATCCCTTGGACTTGCCCCCTCATTGTCCTCTTTAGGCAGTGGTGGCGGAGGCTCTCGTCGCAGGGACACTCCCATCGGTTTGATCGGCTGTTTTGTTTGACAGAAAGTTCAGATGAATGCCGTAAGGATTGCCTTTACCTTTGCATCATTTGGCACGTATGCTTTATCCTTTGAATATGTCCCTTTTGTCCTGATCTGACAGTAGTGAAAACAACAAACACGGGTTGAGATGGAGTTTGTCTTGGGAGCTACACGACGGGGGTCGAACGCTTCCCCTGCTGAAGGTTAATGTCAGCATCGAGTTGCGATTGTGTAGTGTCCTCGCAGTCTGTAGAAGAGATTGTAAGGTAAAAAGATTGGTCCCGAAACGGTTTCTAACACGCAAGTCCAACAGCATGGTTCCAGCGCTTATATCGAACACACACCCCTCTTACGTATTCAACAGGTGGCTCCTTCTGGCACTTTTGTGATAGAAAAAACGTCGGCTACTTTCCAGATCCCTGAGACCACGAACAATGTTGTGGCGATTTGTTCCCACGCATGCCATTTTGCAAACTAGCCGTGCGGGCCGTCCCCTTTACCAATGATGACAGTGTTTTTTGACGTCGTAGTGAACGAGTTTCTAAAAATCAACCAAAGTGGTTATGCCAGCCGTCCCGTCCGTGGTAAGCTGGGCATTTGGATTTGTTTAAATCGGGGTAGTGCTGACATCTCACTGCACGGACACGATGATCAAATCAACAGTGCACGTTGAAACGACCGCTGCCTATGTTTTATTTCTTTTTATCCAAACCCACGTGCTTCAAAACATGCCGAGCTCTCCCATTGGCTGTTTGTGTTGCTGAAGGCGCTGTCGCCATAAAAGCCCGCTCTCGCGATGCGGGACACCGGAAGCTCTCGTTTTAGATGCGGAGATCTCTTGCTCGGGCTATGTCCCGCGGCGTCGTAGTCCGCACTCACACTACGCATGCGCAACTCTCCTCGCTGCGCGTGCGTTCTCTCTCTCTCCAACAGCTGCGCAAAGTGCACGCAGCTACCAGCTGCGTGCACTTCGCGTGCGTTCGATTCTACTCACACCGCGCGCGCAGGCGCAACTCTCCTCCTCTAGTTTCTTCTCCTTCAAGTTTGAATATAAGCAGCGGTAGCGCGCTGCGCGCATTCAAGGGGAGGAAGTGGCCGAGTGGGCTAACGCGTCTCAGCTCGGAGCGTGGAGCGAAAGCTTGCGCTGGAAACCTCCTGGGTTCGAGTCCCCGCCACCCCCGCCCATTTCGATCTGGATGAGTTTCGTACCGGCACGCATTCGTGTGATGACTACTGCGTGATGCACGTTAAGAATCCCAGGTTAGCGGTTGTACTGCACTGGCTAAATTTCTCATCTACAGCTAAGAGACCGATTACCCGTTAAAACGCATCTCCATCAAGGCTGTATAAACATAAAGAGCAAACCAATTTCTGCGCGCGTTCAGTTCACCGCTGTTGACTCCACTTCACTCCGTTCTTCCAATGAAGTGTGATGGAACGATGCTTCGCATCACCCCATGGTTCCCCTCGGGAAGATGGTGTAATTTTTTTTTTTTTTCCTAAGTTTTTTTTTCTTACTTTTGAATTCATTCCAGAATATTGATTTGAGAACTTCTTACAATGTGTGTAACTTGCAAACTTCTTGGCAAAAATATCTTAAAGGGCAACACCACTCAATAGTGAAGATTTCAGGATAATGAGTGATTTCACATTAAAAAGCACTAATAAAAGACACTATGTCATATGCTTCGTAAGAAATGGTATATATATTGATAAATCTAACTTTAAACACGTGCAGAAATCATAACCGAAACTTCGGATCCGTCTGGCAACATTGGCTTGGGCTGCCAAGAACATGGCTATCACGTGGTATGAAATATGACATGATCCTCTTCGCAACGACTGCCGGGATTGGGGCGGATGTGTGCCAGGCGTAAGCGTCGTGTGCACCGCACTCTGCACCACGCTTTGGTGTCTACGACATCTGACGACGTCCGCAGAACTGCGGCATAACGTTTTGCGCGTATTGTCCGTAGTGTGAACAAAACTCGGAGAGACTATAATCACAAACGGTGAGACAACGGCGGCGGTTGTGACGCGGAAACGGCGGGACTACGGTGAAATGGCTGGACGGCTCTGAATATACAAGCTGAGCAGGTCAGTTACGCCAATCACGTGGACACCGCTGAGCACCGAGAGGAAACATTGCTGATGTCATCCGTTACGCTTGCTCGGAGAAGTAAAAAGAAGCAAAAAGGGACAATGGGGATGATGTTTAGCTCAGTGTTGACTACGCCGTAGCCTTGACTGTGCTGTTGGTTGCGCCTCAATTCGCTCACTCGAGTCAGCCGATTTCGGCAACTTGGCAAGTTGCTAAGTTTGCCAAACCGTTTAAGAAACATTTAGACAGGAATAGGTCATAATATTTGGTCTGTGGTCTTCATAGGTGATACTGAAGAGGACTGCATTGTTTTTTTTTTTTTTTTCAAAAACAAAACTGAAGCGGAGTTGCCCTTTAAGATAAAACGTTCTTAGTGAATCCGGCATCCTGCTACATCCACAATAGTGAATCCGGCATCCTGCTGTCATTCTTAAAGGGGCCGTGCAACAATATTAGGTAGGAATGTTTCTCACTTCACTCAAGCTTACTGACACTAGAGGGACCCAAGTATATTCACACGCGCCACTGACCAAGAAGCTCCTTTGTCGCCGCATAATTTCAAGGATAAAAGTGGCCGTTTT